TTGCAGTGCATGGTTAAATGTTCTTTCATTTAACATTTGTTTGTTGATAGTGTCTTCAAGCCAGAAGATGGCGCTGCGTCTGCTGATGTCCCTGCTCATGCCTTACCTGTCCTCTGCCGTCATCTCTTGTTATGGAGATAAAGGCCAACCAGTAGACTGGTGAGTTTTCATTGGTCATGTGATCATTAGATCAGGTTTTGGGCTTTCCTGCAGCCAGTCTTGAGATCCAGGCCACCCTGCAGAGACCTAATTTGGGTCTTGTACTCCTTTAACCACCTGCTGTCAGGCCGTTGTAATTAAACGTCCAGAGAGCGGCTTCTTGAATGCGGGTGGGCGTTTTTAAACGTTCCATCCTGCCCCGCTCGTGCCCGCCGCTAGGCGGCGGGAACGATCGGGAAATCGGCTTTGAATGTAAACAGCCAGCGATGGCTATTTACATACAAGCGTTCAGGCGTCTGTAGAGACGCCCGATCGCTTGTAATGTGCGCGCGAGTGTGCGCCCCCTACGTCGCAGCTGCTGCTGGCGATCCCGAGCTCCGCTGTGCCCGGTGTGAGCCTGGGATCAGCACAGCAGCTCTTCCTCCTCGTCGGAATGCAGGAAGTGATGTGTATTACAACACCTCCGCATTCCTCTATCACTCTCCGGTACAGAAACCGGAGAGAAGCTGGTGAAGCAGGTCTCTGCTTCATCAGCTTCTCTGGGGGGTCCCTAGGTGACATCAGGTGTCTTAAAGACCCCTGATGTCTCCATAAAGAGGACCTGTCACTGCAAATTGGCTATCACATAGGGAGCTTGTTTGCTCCCTATGTGATAGCAATAAAGTTAAGTGGAAAAAAAAGGTTTACAAAAATTAGTTACAAAAAAAAATTAAAAGTCGCATATCAAAGCAATAAACAAAAAAATGTAAGTCCCCGCCCCCACATGCACACGCAAACATGTGTCGAGTCCGCCTACGTGTGAAAACGACGATTACATCCATTGCGCCGCACATGTTACATATCGCCGCGAACGTTGGAGTGAGAGCAATAATTTTAGGGCCATCAATCACTGATAACAGTAAACTGATGAGCGGTAAAAGCTTTTAAAGCGTCGGCTATGGTCAATTTTGGGTATTGTAGTCTTTTGCGATTTAGCGGGTGCGTGCAATTTTAAAGCTTGACATGTTTGGTGTCTATTTACCCGACGTGACCCCGACTTTTTATATTTTACCAAAAAATTGGGTAATAATAAATGTGTTATAACATAACGTAGGGAAAACAGTTTTTTTTTCAAAATTTTCTGTACTTTTTTTATTATATAGTAAAAAAACAAAACTCCGTAGTGGTGATTAAATACCACCAAAAGAAAGCTCTATGTGTCCCAATAAAATGGTATAAAATGTATTTCAGTGCAGCGTTGCATGACGGAATAAATGGTCAGTCAAAGTACCGCAGCGCTGAATACTGAAAAATGGCCTGGCCAGGAAGGGGGTCTAAACACCCCGGTCAGCAAGTGGTTCCCAGCCTGGTCAAGGACTGGCCTCAGGCTGTGATTGGAGCATGAATGAAACGGCAGCAGCACTCTGATGAGGTCATCACTTTGCTCCCAGTATTAAATGGACCGACTGTTTAATACATTAAATCACTTTTAGCGCCTAGTTCTGCCGCTTTCTCCCCCAGTGCTGTGCAGGGGATTACAGGAGGCTGATGTCAAGACACATGCAGGTGCCTTTTGATTTTTTTGTTTATGATTTTTGATCTAATATTCTGGTTGGATCTTATTTCCAGGTTCATTGTGTACAAGCTGCCCCGTCAGGGTCACAGCGAAGAGGCAGGAATGACGTACATGTACCTGGACAGTAACAGTGGCGGCTGGGTGTCGGGGGCCTCGCTCATGAACAGCACAGACAGCGCAGTAGGACGGACCGTCAATCAGCTCTACAAGTTCTCACAGTCCCAGGTGACACTGCAGGGGTCCTTCTGTATTGGAAATAGTGAATGAAATGGTGTAGTGTCATAGTGTGGACTAACCGTGGGGTACGCCTAACCCTAAAGATAGCCACACACTGTTCTATTTTTTTGGGATGAATGAAAATAGCAGAACAGATTCCTCCATCAATGCTTGTAAGTGTTGATGGAGAAATCCCCGCTGCTTCCTTTCTATGTTGACATTGACTGTTGTCCGCCGTCAGAATACACGAACGGTGCTAGTAGCTGATTGGCTGCCAGCACCATTCACTCGAATATTTTCCAACTGGCTCCTTTGATCTTCTGATTGAGGTAAGCAGGCTGGAAGGAGCCGACAGCGGCACCCACTATGCGAATTGTGCGCTCTTCAAGAACAGGCCAAAATTCACATGGCGCGTGGCCAGCTTAACTCTTCTATGTATTTTTTTCATCTGTTGCCCCAGAAAAATAAAGCACCTTTGGCTGCAATACTCACCTGCACCCCAATGCAGTTCTTTGCAGACTCTGTGATCCGGCATTGGTCTCCTTCCAGGGTGAATGACGTCCAGAGTCATTCAACCCACTTCCTGTGAGTGCAGGGTGTCATAGGAGCGGCCCCTAAGGGTGCACCACTGCGCCCTGAGCTCACATACAGGGATGCAGACAATAGCGCTGACGTCGTCATGTCAGTGCTGCTCTCTGCAGAAGAAGAGTACCCTGCATGTCACATGACAAAAAAGGGGGGTGGAGGGGTGGAGTTTGGACTTTAAATAGGCAAAAGCTAGAAGGTTGATTTAGGCGTACAGCATTCATGTCCTGCAAATTGCCCCGACTGTATGGAAAGATAAAACTCTAAAATCTGAATGACTGCCGTGAGTTGTGGACGTCTCGTGACCGTTGCATTCGGCATTACTTTTAAAAAGCTCATCAGCATTATGAGTGTGAAAGAGGAAGGGCGGCTTACACATGTGGGACGTCTCGTGACCGTTGCATTCATCATTACTTTTAAAAAGCTCATCAGAATTATAAATGTGAAAGCGGAAGGGCGGCTTCCATTTTGCTTATGCTGCAGATCTTGGCCTCATGATATTATTACCCTACCAACAGCCATTCCTTTTCCAACCCAACTTCTTCTTTCCCTGATTACTGAATGATTAAAGCCTTATGACTCAGGAGTGTACTGCTGCTTTCGAATTGTCCAATCAGCAAGGTCCAGTCAGAAGGTGGGTTTTGGATTAAACCGTGCTGCCATTGCAGTACACGAGAAGGATTTTACTATACTGTATGGCCGGGGTTATCACAACACTGACTGTACAGAACTGCAAATCCTTTGCTTCCGAGCTCCTGCTTGAAGTTCAGGATTAAACTTTATTATAATCTTTTTTTTTTTGTTTTGCATTTTTTTTTATATTCCTAATAATCAATTATTTCCCTTTTCATGATGATCGCCTGGCTGTGGCTTCCTTACCCTGTCCTTTTATTTTTCAGATTGTTGGTCGCCCTTGGTGGTCCTTGCTAAGAGAGAGTAGGAAAGGCTTCTTCTTTTTTTTTTTCTCTTGGGGTGAAAAAATGTAGTTTCACTTTCGCATGAGGAAATACATAAGCAGAGGTCGCCTACAGTGAGAACACCATGACAAATCAATCAGCAGACCCAGAGATCTAAGCAGCTGAAGATGTATGCAGATTTTGACTTTTCCTCTAAAAGTCAGGCTTGGCCCCACCCCTCTTACTTCCCAAGCCTCCCTGTTGGTCCTAGAATTTTAACGGCATCCTGGACTAACAGGAAGGCTCAGATAAGCGGGAATGATAGTACGAAGGTAAAATAAGATTGCAATATAAACGAATCTACCTGCATCTACTGATCATGTGACGTGGTCCTAATTGAAGGTGATCGGTGCTTATGTATTTTATTACATGCTATGTCAGGTTCAAATGAATCCAGTGGTCAGCATTTACATATTGGGTTATTAGTTGAGTAAACAACAACCTCCTGCCTACCATGTACATGCTGCGTCCAAGCTCCCTAGAGCCTAGATCACATGGTCAGTGATTACCAGGAGCATTGTGGGTGTTTCATGTCATTGGAGCCTGTAGATTGTCTATCGTTTTATATCTGACCAACCTTGTATGTTAGACATGCAGTAAGGTAAGAAGTTCAGCAAAGCACAGCCTTTGTGCAGCATTACTTAAGAGGAAGTAATGAACAAACAGGGCTGGTCACAATGATACGGATATAGAGCCAGGCTATACATATATAGATTTAACTTGCAGTGATGAGAACTGTATAATCTCCATTTTCTGTTGCAGAATGTGGCATACATACTGTATAACGATCAGCCTCCTGTTGACACAAACGGAGGAAGCCGCGGCCACACTAAAGGTATCTCATTCCCTACATTCTGCTTATGGCTGATTATTTTACCATGTTATGGAACTGATTTATAAGTGTTAGAGTCAGGCCGCCCAAAATTGATATTTCAATCTTTGGTTGCTGCTTGCCTCATCTCTTTGTTGACATCTCTGCACATCCGTAAGGGGTCAGAGGTCACCTTAGGAACAGGGCTGGACAAATCCCAGGAGCCGAGTTGCCAATGCTCCTTTAAAATAACAGCTGGAGGCCATCTTTTTAGGTGAAGGCTGATTGGCTGCCTTGCACAGCTGTTCCAGATTCTGTCTGCTCCAGTTTTTTAGTCAATTCCCCTCCATGTACCTTGATAAGTGCATAGCAACATGTCTGACTTCTGCCTGCACTTTGGTTGTCCAGCAATGAGCTCCGCTACTGCTGGCCATTTACCAGGGACACCATGCAGCTCATGGTCATGAAACAGAAGATCACCAGCACTCAGGATGAAAGCGTGAACTGTTTTCGCTTTTAATAGAGTTGAATTATGTCACGTCAAGTGTGTCATTCAGCCGATGTTTCAGGGCCACGCTGGGTGCCTTCTTTAGGGCAACATAGTGACAAGGCCAATATGTCGTCCTGAAAAAGATGAACGATGCCATGAGTTGTAGGGTAGAGCTGGGAAATGGCCAGCAATTTCAAACGTGGCTTGCCTGGACAACCAGAATGTGGGCAGAAGTCAAATATGGTGCTATTCACTGTTCAAGATACATATGCTATATGGCGAGTTAATGATCATAGAGCGATTGTAGGGTGAACCTCCACTTTAGGTCTGATTGTCATTGTCTGGTCAACCCTGACCTTACTAAGAACCTGGGATGGAGTGTGTGAGGCCAGGGGATGGACTGTACTTTCAAAACCCCAAGCTTGTGTAGGAAATGGTTACAAACTTCAGGTAGGATCTTCACCTTTCTTGAAGCATACCACCACTATTTCTGATGATGTACCCATCATTCCCTTAGGTGTGATTCTTCTGGACAAAGAAAAAGGGTTCTGGCTGGTTCACAGCACCCCTAACTTCCCTCCGCCTGCATCTGAAAAGTACGACTGGCCCGGAAGCGCTCATCACAATGGCCAGTCCTTCCTCTGCGTCACTTACCCATACCTACAGTTCAGAGAAATCGGTGAGGTACCTGTTTGGTCAAGGCAAACAGGGGAGGGCCCTGGGGAAGAGAAGCTACTTGTGCTGGGGAAAGAGGCGTGAGCGTCTTAGAATGAAAGTGGTCCAGAGAGACTGGGGAGATTAATGTAGAGAGGAAGTTGATTGGTACTGAAGAGCATTAATGGAAGTAAAATTAAGCCAATTGGTCAAAAGATGGAGGGGAGTTCTATGAATTGATGACATCTGGTCCTTAGGAAGAGGGGAGGCCTATGGAGAAATTAAGTTGTCAGGTCCTTAGAAGGAGGGAAGGTCAATGGAGAAATTAAGTTGTCAGGTCCTTAGAAGGAGCGGAGGTCTATGGAGAAATTAAGTTGTCAGGTCCTTAGAAGGAGGGGAGGTCTATGGAGAAATTAAGTTGTCTGGTCCTTAAAAGAAGGGAAGGCCTATAGAGAAATGAAGTTGTCAGGTCCTTAGAAGGAGGGGAGGTCTATGGAGAAATTAAGTTGTCAGGTCGTTAGAAAGAGGGAAGGTCTATGGAGAAATGAAGTCAGGTCCTTAGAAAGAGGGAAGGTCTATGGAGAAATGAAGTCAGGTCCTTAGAAAGAGGGAAGGTCTAGGGAGAAATTAAATTGTCTGGTCCTTAGAAGAAGGGAAGGCCTATAGAGAAATTAAGTTGTCAGGTCCTTAGAAGGAGCGGAGGTCTATGGCGAAATTAACATTTCTGGTCCTTAGATAGAGGCGTTTTTAGTGGTAACTTAAAGGGGAGGACACTGAAGAAATTAAGCTGATTGGTCAAGGGAATTAATGATTGACAGTACATGTCCCTCTTAGGAACTCAACTCCTGTACAACACCATTACTCCATATGATTCATCTGTTCCTGCCGGCTTCTGTGGTGACTTACCTGATCTAAAGTCTGCAGCAATGAAGAAGGAAGTGTCATCACCGCCCTGGAATCGGCAAGTCACCCTCACCTCCGCCGGAGGCAAAACATTCGTGAGTTTTGCCAAGCATGCCAGATTCGGAGACGGTGAGTTGAGAACAATTGTGGTTTTGGTCAGTTTTTCTTTTTTTTCTATGTTGACAAGATTTTAAACTGTGTTAATATATTTGTATATAAAACCTTTAATAAATTAACATTTATTATGGTGTGGACATTAACAGCATTCACAGAGCATTACGGGTTTTCAAAAACAAGAGTCCAGCAGTAGCTTTTTCATTTCAGGATGGGTGTCTTTAATTAAAATTATACTTTAAGCCATAAAGAGTGGGATAGGTCACTCCTCAGAGTCATTAATCAGGGCTGGATCAACATGCAAAAAAAATATGTTACTGGGAAGGGGCAGGGGATAAACATGTGCAAAGGGGTCTAGAGGTCAACCTGCTGAGTGGAAGTAGTAAATATGACATTTACATTTATAAACACATTATTAGCATAATCTAATCCAATCTAATATCTGTAATAAGATGTTACAGGGGTAATAAGACACTCAGGAGCCGGGTTACTGTTGTTGTGATTGAGTGGTATCAAATCTTGGTGAAATATTAATAATAGGGTGGTGTTTGAATTATACTTAGATTTAATAGACAGTGCCTCCAGCCGATTACGGCAAATAATAAATCACTTAACAACCAGTATGAATTCAGTTCAGACACTTGATAATGCACCCCAAACCACTTCCCTGAGTTCTTTGAGCTTATGGTGATTTCTTACCACAATGATGAAATCAACAGTCTGAGTATCATGCATGTATAAAATATAGTTCTGTAAAGAATAAGGTGGATTCACCTTTAAATTAGCGTTTGCCACTATGACCTTTCAATCGTCAGGGAGGAGTATGTGGGCTAGTCTTCCAACAATTGTAATTGTG